AGAATGAGTTTTTTTGAGAAAGTAAAAATGCACAAAGTTTCCTGTGAGGGGTAGGTTTAGGGGTAGGGTAGGTGTAGGGCAATAGAATAAACGGTCTGTACAGTATAAAAACCATTACGCCTATGGAATGTCCCCATAAAACATGGAAACACAACAAGTGTGTGTGTGTGTGTCAGAGTGTAAGTGTGTGTGTGTGTGAGTGTTTGTGTGTCTTTATTTTAAAGAGGATTTGTTCTAGAAGCGCCTTTGGAATTAAAATGAAATGTGGACTTGTTTTCTTGTGTCTAGAGTACAATGACTTGAAACACGAGCTGAATGAGTTTCTTCAACAATCTGCAAACCAGAGAAAGGTGAAGATAAGAGCAGCTTCTCTGTCAGTCACTGAGAAAAATAAGAAGTGAACCTCAATTCTAATGGATGTAGTTTGTTTATAGGACGTCACTCCTGAGGCTTTCCATGAGTTTTTGGAGGAATTGCAAACAAGAAAGAAGAGACGGTTGAACTGAACCCATCAACATCACAGAGAGTATTATGGGACTGCACATCCTTTGGCTGGATCCACTTTAATAAAGTCTCAGAGCAAAAACAATGATGCTAGTGTGCAGACCTTTGAATTATTTCATTATTATTGCTTTTAAATTAAGTGCTTTGCCTCAGAATCTGTAGTTTTCCTCCGTTAATTCTCAGTAGGGCTTGTAACTCCCTGTCTGTCCAGCTGATGAAGCGCTTCTCCGTGTTTGATGTGATCAGGTTAGCAGTGCTGATGTAACAGCTCAACAGCACTGGGATGTTTCAGTGCTTGTGTTTGTTCCAGACTGTGTGTGTTAGTGCTGGGGATTTAGTCACGCTTTCTGCAGTTACATCGACACGCCAGAAGGTGGAGACAGTCTGCATTTATGAGTCAATGAAACTGATTCATTCTAAAACACTGCTACTACATTTGCTGAACTTCCATCATCGTCATTCAAAATCTACATGCTATAAGCAGTGTTGGGAAGTAACTAGTTACACCTAACTAAATTACATAATTTATTTACAAAATAAATGTAATTGTAATCAGTCACAGTTACTGAGAGGAAAATGTGTCCTTAAATTACAGTTACTTATGAAAATGTCAACGATTACAAAGGGGGTTACAGCTGAATATTTTTCACACACATACAGATTTAATTGATTTCTTATATATAGTATACTCAGTATTATATACAGTATAAAGAAACCTCTTCTTCATCTGTTTATTTTAAAACCAATTGTTGAAGAAAACTAAAACAGAAAGGATTATTTTACAGAACACGTATAAAGGCCGATCTGATCTGGTGTTCTAGTACGTGTTGGAGATGAAGTCGATATTTAATCAATATTTATTTCACGACTCGATCCGCATTTGCTCCGGAGCTCGACGCGGAATACTCCATTCTGTGTACATGAGAGTTCTGCAACAAAGCGTTTTTAGATGTTAGCTCTGAAATCATCGGCTGTCAGCAGCTCAGTGTAGATGCTGTAGTGCAGGGTTAGTGTGATGCTCTGCTGAGCTCTGCAGTGCTTGCACCTGATCATCAGCTCTGCTGCTCGAACCGCTCACCATTTCTCATTTGCTCTTTAACTCGTGGAGACTTTCTAACATGTCTACGAAGGCAGAGCAATGTAAGTATGACGACGCTTGCTGTTGTGTGATGTATGGAATATATGGAATATATGGAATATAATAGAATATGTGAATGAAGCTGTGTGTGCTCGATGGGAGCGGCGAGGGGAAGATACACGTGTAAAGAGATACATACTGTACGATACGGAGGGCTAAAAATGTTAGAGCTTCACGATAACAGCCGACGGTAAGATTTTAGATTTAGATAATGTGTTGCAGAAGACAGAAGATGTGATGTATTTTTTTCAAGGTCGAATAGTCAAGTCACCCCTGCAGTAAAACACAAGCTCGAGTTGTTGTTTAAACGCTGATGAACTGCATGAATTTGTTCATCTAACCCTACAGGAGTGCAGTATTATTTTGATAAATCAGGTAATGGTTGATGATGTCTGTGATGGTGTAGATGACCAGTGCTGTCTGTGCTTTTTGGTAGAGGGCGCCATTTGCTTTCTACCGTCTGTTTTATTGACCAACAGACTGTCAACCTCAAAAATACGCTTTCATGTAAATTATAGCATATTATAAAATAACTCTGATCCTTTGCCTGATCATTCTTACCGCTATTCAAACACAGGCTTGTAGTCCATAACTGGATGCTGAGCTCAAAACACCTGATCCTTACTGGACACAATGCCCAGCAAACACAGAACGTTCCCCTAACCTTAGTTTTTGGATCCAGTTTGGTTATTTTTTGCGAAACAAATACTAACGTTAAGGGAATGTCCTTTTTAGGTTATTTCTTTTGTAACCATAAAATAGCGTTCCCAGAACGTTGCATGGTGGTTATTATTAAATAAACTAAAAATAACGTATAGAGAACGTTCCCTAATGGTTAGATTTAGGTTATTTTTTATAACACAGTAAAAATATCTTTCAAATTAAAATGTAGTTTTTTTGTGTAATGACCTATAATTCGTTTAATGCAGCATTGATCAAAATACAGAAATTAGATAAATCAAAAAACGTTTTAAATTATAATATTAAGTCAGGGTTAAGCATATAGTGATGACAGAAATCATAACTTCGTGGACTTGTTTCATCTTCATTTACTGCTGGCCTCTGATCTGCACACGCTTCTCCAGCACGTGCTTTCAAGTCAAGTCAAGTCACCTTTATTTATATAGCGCTTTTAACAATACAGATCGTGTCAAAGCAGCTTTACAGTATTAAATAGGAAAATAGTGTCAATAATGCAAAATGACAATAGTAAACACTCAATTTTCAGTTAAATGCAGTTCATCATTGAATTCAGTGATGTCAACATCCAGCTCAGTTTAAATAGTATCTTTGCAATCAAGTCAACGGTATCGCTGGAAATGAAGTGTCCCCAACTAAGCAAGCCAGAGGCGACAGCGGCAAGGAACCAAAACTCCATCGGTGACAGAATGGAGAAAAAACCTTGGGAGAAACCAGGCTCAGTCGGGGGGTCAGTTCTCCTCTGACCAGACGAAACCAGTAGTTCAATTTCAGGCTGCAGCAAAGTCAGATTGTGCAGAGGACTTGTCTGGCTCCTGTGGTATTGTCCCGGTGGTCGTCTGAGACAAGGTCTTTACAGGGGATCTGTATCTGGGGCTCATCTAGTTGTCCTGGTCTCCGCTGTCTTTCAGGGCTGTAGAGGTCATCTCTAGGTGCTGATCCACCATCTGGGCTGAATACGTACTGGATCCGGGTGACACACAGAATTTAAAGATTAACGGTCATTTTGTTTTACTGGCTGACTGACTTGCTCGTTTATTGATCTAATTATCGAATGATTACTTAAAATTAATATAGTTATGAGAGTAAATATGATTTTGGAGGGATTTGACACGCTTAACTGAAGAGAACATTATGGTTTTGTTTACGGATCAAAAAAAGAATGTTCTGGGAACTTTCTGGGAACCCAAAATTGTTAGCTGGGTGTGCTGCGTGTTGAACACCACAATATCTGTGGTCAATAACACTGATCTAATGTAGGCCTAGTCTCAAAAATAAGACTTTATAACTGATTGTATGTCATGCTAAAATGTAGATGAGCATTTAGTCTATAATCTTAGCAGTCACTGAGGGTTTATACAGGTTTATGTAGGTCTGGCCCTATGGGAAACTGTGAAAACAGTCTGTCATAAGATTACAAGATCCTGCAGCAACGCACTGTAAAAACTGCACATAATATAAAAGGTCAAATGGTAAAAAGAAATGTTCATAATATAAATAAAATTGTGAGCACATATAATGTAACTTTTTTGCATACTGTAATAGGTTGTGATTATGTGATGGACTCATTATGGTAACTCGTAATAACAAAAGCATAATTTATAACTGCATAATCTAATGAATTACATACAATAAACAAAGCTAACAAAATACTTAAAACATTTTGTATTGCTTTACAATAGTCCATAATTTAACTTCTCTGTGTCGTTCATTACTTAAGGAAAGCTATTTTTCTTTATGCAGAATTTTCACCTTTTTTAAGCATTTGAAATCACTAATAATCAAAAACATTCTGTTGCCTTTAACTCACACTTTAGTTGTGAAAAACTGTCTTCTAAACCTGTCTTCATCATAGTAAACTTAACTTACATTTGGGCTTGTTCTTCACATGAATTCAGAAGACTCATATATATAGTCAATATGAAGAATATATAGTCAATATGGACTACGGTTATGACACTTTTATGACCGTTTAATGTCATTTTGGAGCTTGACAGACCCAGTCTCTGTTCACTCTCATTATATAGGAAACAGACATGCAGACATTCACACGGATTTTTAACAGAATGATTCTTTTGAGCTATTTGTTTCAATTAATTGGTTCATTGATTCAACTGTTGCCACAATCATGAAACAAACATTTTGTTGTTGTTTTTTCATTTATGCATATGCTACTCCAGATCCATAATTTTCCTTTATGAAGTGGTGAAGTCTGCTGCTGACAGCTCTGAGTTAGATCACTTCTCTCTTCCTCAAAAATGTCTGATGTTATTTTATTTTCTCATTGTAAGACAGAAAACAACATGATGAGAGTTAAAAATAGACGCAAAACATCATTACCCAGCATGAGAAATAAGAGAAGTGTGTTCCAGGAGTCATCGTGATCCGGTCGTCCAAACACAGACGCTGTTGTGTGACACATCTGAGCTCCAGCAGTTCGGTCACTGCGTTCATTTGTCCATCTGACAATCCAAACTGTCTGATGTGGAAAACTCACTCAAAATGAGAGCAAGTTAGAAAACGTGTCTCATTTCAGCTGTAATGCTGTGAAAATACAGATGTCCGTTTCAGAGAGATGTTCATTTACTGATTTCTTCATCAAACAGCACAAAGCAGCAGCAGTGGATTGTTGAATATTATGAAATGTTAATTATGTGTCACTTTGCTCTTTATTTGTTTAGTTGGCTCTAAGATTCGATACTTGCAAGAGTATCACAACCGTGTGCTTCACAATATTTACCCAGTGCCATCAGGAACAGACATTGCAAACACTCTGAAATACTTTTCCCAGACCCTGCTCAGGTAAGTGCACTACACTGGAAATAGGTGAAACACTGCAAATGTTGCATTCTAATGATAGGCAGGCCTAGTTTCATTATTACAAAGCAGATAAATATATCATCTATCTAAATCTGAGAATTTCAACAGCCACCGAGACATTAGAGCTCTGTATTATAATCAGATATATGCAGTAACATCATGCATGCCAAAAGTACACATTTTGAATAAATTCAGGGAAGTCCTGATTTGAATATTGTTTTTGTTTGTCTTTAATGTTTGTCTTTTAAATGTCAGTAGCTTTATGAAATACAGTTGACTTATAGTTAGACTCATGAGTTCATGTTATGTGTAAGAGCTCTTCTTCATGTTCACGTGTCAACAGAAACAGTTTAATAAAAGTGCATGCACTCAAAACATGCCTGAAGAAGAAATTTTAGCGTCTGAGAGCAGTATGTAGTTGTGTGCTTTTGTTATTCCTGTTATGTTTATGTTTACTGTATCAGTGTTTGTGTGTTAAAGTGTCCTTTTGTCATTAAGAGTTGATAATGATATTGTACTGATAATGATAATGTACTGCCAGTGATATGAAATACTGGATTTCCATAGTGTTCAGTGGGTTTGAAATGTTTAGTTTAGTTAGAAATGTGGAGTTTTTCTTGTCGAGAACGCTGTTCATGTAGCATTCTGCAGCTGAACCACCTCTCATTCCCAGCCAAACAGGGCTGACATGTGTAGCTTTGATAAGAGACAGTGTGAGAAATACTACACCATCCTGTTGTATGTAACGCACATCCAACTACGTTCTCCTCTCCCTCCAAGACCATCACAGACCAAATTACTGCTGAGGTAGAAGTTGACAGGGGACAGCAGACACAAGCACCCTCCACATCCCTCCACGAACATGAGACATTGCTTTCGAAACCAGTGTATTCCTTTTCCATTACAGTTTTCCCCAGCCGTAGACTAGTGACATTTCTGTTAGAACTGAAATCCATATGCCTGTAGAACCATTATTTCTCTTCCCCTAAATGATACTGAGGCAGTATCATAATGTATTTACATACAGACATTCTTTTTGACGGTGCAATAAACATGTGTTGTGACCAGGGAGCTTTTAGTCTAACCTCACATACATGTTTATTACTGGCTGAAGCATGTTTCTGAAGTGTCATCTCTGTATCGTCCTCAAAACTAATTATTTCGAGATTGCTCTCATCTCTGACAGCCCCTCCATTGCTCAATATTTCCCATGTGGCTCTTTAGCCTCCTGATCGGCCCGTGCCGCCCGTCCTCCGGGGATTGGCCGCTCGGAGGGCGCGGCGCGTGTGCCTCAAAGCTCGTTCCTCTGGCGAAGTACGGGGCTGCCACTGAAAACATGCCATTTTTTATATTTTTGCTCCTTGTCACCAGATACGCATGAGATGCAGTGATCGTCACGTGCTTCGCAAGCGCAAGCCTGCTTGATTTCGATCCCAACCAAAAGCCAGCTTTTCAAATGCATAGATGATGATGGCACATCTAAAGCAAATTCCAAAGTCTGTGGAGACACTGCATCCTATGTGGGGAATATCTGGGTTTGGTTCTTTTCTACTTACGCTGTCTCTGTAGAGCCATTTCAATGTAATGTGCTGTTTCTTTGTGTCTTTGTTGTCTCTTTTTTTCCCCTGTTCCCCCCCCACCCCTCCCTCGGAGCAGCATCCTGTCCCGTACAGGCAGAAAGGAGAGCCAGGAAGCTTCCAATTTGGCCGTGCCCATGACCATGTGTCTTTTTCCTGTGCCATTCCCACTCACCCCATCTCTAAGACCACAAGTCAGTTCCATCAACCCTACAGTTACTCGATCCCTCCTTTACAGCGTTCTGCGGGACGCCCCGGCCGACCGGGGTGGTGCCACCCAGCAGAGTCGGGAGGTTCAGATCTCAGATTACCCCTCACTGGACTATCAGGGGCTCTATGCCACCCTCGTCACCTTGCTTGACCTGGTGCCCCTGCTGCAGCACGGTCAGCACGGTGAGTCCTGCGGCGCCTCACTCCCGGAGACACATTTCTGAGTGTATCAGAGG